GAAGATGATGCCCCTTTGGATGGCATAATGTTTGTAATTAGTCACAACTGCCAGGAATCTCTAGATAAATGTGCAAAACAGGGTCATATAAGCAGCTTAAGAGATCCGTATCAAGAGTTCTTGAAGAGGAATTTCCCTAGATAGTACTAGTAGTTGAATGAATAATCCCTCGGATTATCAGTTTATTATGATGGAAAGACATTGAATTCTTTCTCATTGTCGTTCTAATAAAGTTTTCCTAAAATATATACAAACTTTTAATCATTCTAAAAGGCGCCCACTAATATTTTTCTTTTCACACAAATATTTACCAGTGAAATATTTTCTTTTTGCACCTCTATTCCTGTGCAACCATTCATAAAGTTTTCTGCTTATTTAAGCACTTTTTCCATTTGCTTGACTATTTATTCCGACACGTGAATTCTTCGTGACAAATTCGTGATATATATTGTTGTAGCTCATCAGGCAAACATGCGCGACATGAACGGTATATAAGTATGTAGTTTAGTTGTGAAATGCGCTTTGTGGGGGAGAGATTTTAGGGAGAAAAACACCAGACGAGGGGGTATTCCTTTGGGGACGCATACAAATGCTTATAGCATATTTCATGCTGAAAACCTTACAAACAGCATAGCACATATAGAAAGAAAAACACCAAACGAACAATAGAAAACAGAATTGTTTTGCTTTGATAGTTTCTATGGCAAAGTTTTGATAAAGCCAAATAGTTTAATGGCATTTTTCGGTTTTCGCAGCTTGGCAAGTTTTGCTGATTTAATCTTTCATTTTTTACGACAGTTGTCTTTGTCTGGTTGGAGTTTATAAAGCTTAAGATACTTTATCTTAATTTAACTTTAAGGGAATGTAAATATGTAGAAATAAGAAGAAAGTTTTAAATTTCAACTGCAACTTTGCAACTGCCTCTAATTTTTATGTATTTTTATTTGAATTCCAATTACCGCATCTGAAATCTAGATCTGTTTTTGGTGCAGTACTTCCGCCGATGAAGTACCAATTTGTCTCTACCTTTCAGCTCAACTCGAGTTTTATCTTAACAACAGGCCGCCTCAATTGAATGACTTCTGTCCGTCGAAAAAGCCTGACAAAATGTCACGCTGCGATTGTGCCGATAGCGAAATCTCGTTCTCATTTTCAATTGGGCGGAGAGAATATTCTATGGCATTTCCTCAATCCCTTCCCCTAGATTTCCCCCATTTGTCGCTGCATTGCGCCGGAGCCTTTGTCTCAAGTGTATTGCAGTTGGAATTGTGTCTAGAGTGGGCTGTGCACTCGACGCAAAAGGCTGCAAAATAAAAAAAATATCACCAAGAGCACCAGAAGCCGAAACTCAACTGAACTCGGTTGAAATGCAATGAAATAAGCGGAACAGAATTGAATTGAAGCCAGAGCTGGCTGCTTCTCCCCAAGCGCTTCTTCAATGCAATGCACTTTGCTGATTATTATTGCAGTTTTTTAGTTCATTTTTTGGTTCCGAGTTGGGCTACGACGTGACGCAGCTGTAATCAATTTGACATAGATTTTTTAAATCAATATATGAGTTTGTCACGAGCTCAACGGCTAATGTGGCTGTTGACCAGGCTAAGGGCCACTCTACATACATTCTATATACCCGTCAATTAACACACACATTCGGAGGGGGCTCAATTTTCGCTTTAAATCTTCTCTGTTTGCTCGGCAAACAAACAATCCAATCGAACTAGCAAACATTTCCTTAGCAAAAGGAAATTTTTTGTTATCTCTTTTTCCCCCCACACAACTTTTTCTTTATCATTGAATTTGGGTCTAGCATTTCTCAAATATTTCTTCTAAATTGCATTTTATTTTTCGCTGCCAAGATAATTTTCAAATACTTCACTCTTTCGTGTGGTCTATCAGAAAATATTTTCCCACATTTGCATTGATTGTACGAGGCAGCTGCACAGCCGGCAAAATGTTCACATGTCCATATTGCATGTTTGAGCGAGCTGCTACTACTTTTTGCCACCATGCCACATAAATTGCATTTTTAGCCAGGCCAAAACATGTTGCTTTCGTTGTTTATGGGGAGGAATTGGATTCGGTTCGTTTTATTTATTTATTTATTTTTTTTTTGGGTTGAGTAGGATCGATGGACTAAGGCGCTGAATAAATCGGAGTATGAAGTTTTAAAATATTTTTATCTATTTTTTATTTAAAAAATCTGTAATTTAAATTATATAATTTAATTAAATTTAAATTAAACTAATTTGTGAATATGTTTTATATTTAAAATAATAAAACTCGAATCGTGGGTCACCAAATTTCTCAGGCCGAACTCTGATGGCTTAATAACAGCCCAGCAAATAAAGATCGGACTTAGTGCTGATGGATCTGAAAAATGTCCGCTAAAAATATTAAATACGGACAAAGAATAGGACTTTCCGCATTAGTTTCGCTAAATGCTCAAAAGCGGACGCGCAAACGGACGAATAGCGGTATAGTATCGCGAATTCTCAGGATTATACCCGATAAAGATGTCGTAAAAGGTCCTCAACCAAAATCATATTTGGATTCCGAAAATTATAGAATTTTCTGACATAAAATCCATGACAGCTGATTAACTTTATTATCGTTTATGAGCCTGAGTTTTGTCCGCTTGAAATCCGCAAAACTATCGTTTTCACTATCATAAACGAGGTTTTTGTCTGCGGGAGTATGTTTTGCTGTTAGATTTTCATTTTTTCGCTAAAACCCAACATCTCTAGACCTATTTAAGTTATAATATAAATTATAATATTTTATTAAAAATGTCTAACACAAAAGCAATTATATTTCTATTTTATTTTCTTCATTTTCTCATTTTCTTTTCCAATTATTGCAGTTGTAAATATTTGTTTTGCAGTGCATAAACTACGCTTTTAATTTGATTCTTTTTTTCTCGCCGCCATATAACAGCTCTCTTGAGACTCTCTTATCTGGTCAACACTCGAGTTTTGCTTTGATTCATTTGCGGTTTTTTGTTTGGAGTGATGCAAACGCAAATGTTTGCTTTGCAACTGATAAATCTCGTTGATGGGCCAACTTCTATCACAGTAACGAAAGCGTTATGGCTATAGTTTCTATCTTTAAGCACGTGATATTTGGGATTTAATTTTATTACAAACGGAAAACATGTCTTATATTTTTAATGGGTTTTTTGATAATTAAAAAATTTTAAAGATAGTTGAAAGAAAATGATTAGTCAAGTTACTTTACAACTTGAATAAACAATGAAGGAATGTAAGAACCAATTTGTTATCTAAAAACATTTGATAAAAATAATTTATTAAAGTTAGGGGACCATGTTATAGTTAATTTCTCTATTGTTCTTTAATTGTTTTTTTGTTTTAATTTCATTTTATGCTATCTTGAAGTACTCGATCTTAAATAAACACGAAAAGTGTGTATGTACATGACCCTCGTCGCTTGAATGCTTCTATTTTATTTTTATTTGTGGGGCGTACACTCTTCAAAACGGAGCCAGAGATGTACAGAAAACGAGGGACAGCTGCTGAAAAATAAAATATAGAAGAAGAGAGGCCTAGGCCCAGCTGACTGGGCTGACTGACTGACGGTCGGAAACCGAAAGTGATACATCTGCTGCTCTAACGAGCTCGAGAGCCGCCTATTGTTAGGGTCACAGGCCCCTCGCGCTAAAAGTAACCACCTTTGCAGCGTGCCAGGAAAAGAAGAAAATGCCTCGAGGCTCGATGCGAAATTCATACTCACACAACATCCTGCGACCGAGACGTTCTTGCTTTGACTTTCGTAAGCAGGTCACGTGAGCACAAAAAAAAAAGAAAAGGATAAAAACGAGGGGAGCGCTGACAAAGGGAAATCTTGGCAATTCGTCGTAGGGGTGGTCGTCCTACAAATGTGATTGCCCGAAGAAAAGGGGGCGTTGTCGTCCCTACTCCACCGCCCACTGCGTAAAATAAAATACAGAACAAATTCGCTATACTTTTATTTTTCCTTCTTTCGTTCCTTATTCGTTTTTTGTTCTTTTTCGCCCTGCTTTAGCGCATTTCCTTGGCCGTTTGTCGCTTCTGGCCGACAATTGTTTCAACGTGTTTGAAATATCTTAAGCACGGCCTAGCCAAAAAGCTCAGGGTCTGGGTCTGGTTTATGCCCCTCGGTTTGTTTTGTTTGGTTTTGCTTTTAGTGTCTTTTGTTTTTACGCATACAATATATATTCATTCGTCCGATGTCTGATTTTGTGCATATCAAAATGAAGTTTCTGCCGGGGTATTATATTATATATACGAGAAATGCTCATATACATACAAACATAAAATCAATATTTGCCCCGCGTCGTCGTCATTGCCGCCATCATAGCTGGTGTTGCGTCTTTTTGATACCAATTAATTTTTGGGGAGTCCTAGAGGGGTTTAAAAATAATATTTTCTCTTTTAAACATATAAAAAATATTATGATAATTTCGTTATATCTAAAAAATATAGTTTTACCTAAGTTCTTGATTTTTAACCGTTCTGATTTGTATTTTTAACAACTTACTAAAGTCTGAATAAATTTTTGTAAAGAATTAAGGTTGTTTTTCATGAAATTCAAGAAAATATAATTTAGAAACAAAAGGAAATAGGAAAATAAAATATTTACTGACTATTTTTATCTCATTTTTGTATTCAAAATACTGGGTATTCCCCTGTTGATTATAATGGTTTGTTATTATATTTATTCCTCCTTTATTTGTGCCCCCTGTTTGCTCCGAAAGCAGTCAGTCAGTCAGTCAGAATCAAAAACAGAAACTGAAACAGAGACAGAGCCAGAGCCAGACGGCAGCAGCTGATAAGCCCCGATGCGGATGTGAAAATGTTCATGGGAAAAAAAGGCCCAGCAATAAACACATTTACTCCCATATAAATATATATTTTCATATACCGATATGTGTACAAATGTCTGAAATATATTAACGAGTATTTGCCGCCATATAATTGACCCCTATATCTCTTTTTTCATTCCAGGTTGCGCGATAACCAACGTTGACCGAATCAAAGGTGAGCAGAACCACGAAAACCTAATGGAAATGGTGTACATTTTTTTTTCTCCTTTCCATGTTTGTGTTCCTTTTTTTTCTTGCGGGTTTTCCTTTTTGAAGAGTGCCAAGTTTTTGTCACTTGGCCTCGGGCGATTTTGAACTTGTTCCACTTTGGCAGCTGGAATTTTTGCGGGGGAAGCTTTACTATCTTTGCATTCATCTAGTCTGCCAATGACTGCGGTTCTATTCTTCTCTCTAGGCGGAGATAAAACGCCAAAATTGTTCCTTTTGCGTTTGCTTTTCAGCTGTGCTCAATTCTCTTGGAAAAAATAAAAACGAAAAAGCGAAAAACCTGATGCTGGAACATAGCAGATACTCGAACGGCTTGCTCCAGTTCTTGAAGTGGAGTCGAAAACGAGTTTTTCGGCACTTGCCCGACCGCCTGCCACCGCTAATCCCCGCCTCGTAAATGCCTATATACTATACGTAAATCATTTGAGTTGAGTTAGGTCTGGTTTTTTCTGATAGTTGTTGGCCAGGCTAAGTTTAGGCTAAGAAAGAAACGCATAAAACAAGAAAGCCATAGGCCTCAAATACCCCAAGGTTTTTCCAGCCACCAGTTGTTGACTTTTTAAGCATTTCGCATGTGTTTGTATTTTCTTTATGACCGCATAAAATCCGTTATTATATCTCTTGACATGGTCCCCAAACTGGTAATAAATTTGCTGTGCATATCCACAACATCTAACTGCTAATTGACCGATCTAAACGATTTCGTTTGGAGGCTAAATGAATACATAAAACTAAATCACTAGGAGAGCTATGTATATCTTCAAAGTTAATGGCTTAAAGTCTGTAAAAAATTCAGCTAAAAGCCAACTAGAAGTTGGTATACTTTTTGCTGATAACATTCTGTTTTATAACCTCTTTAAGATTTCTGAGTGTAAATACCACAAATATAAGAGGAAATGCTGAACCTTTAAATTGTTGAATAACTTTTTGAATTATATTATTTAACACAATATAGTCTGATATGTATACCATTTTTTGTCTACAATTAGTTTGTTATTTATAGGGCGTATTTTATAATAGTTTCCTTCGTTTTTTTAAGATGGCTTTTAGAGTGGTTTTTTGTTTTGTTGCTGACGGATTTCGTTGGATAAATTGAATTACCATGTTGCCTGCGCCACAAGCAATGCAGCTGTCAAGTCCGGTCTGGCTTTAGCTTTTTTAGCTTTTTGTGAAATAGCCTAATAGCAGCCGCGTTGGGGAAAGTCATTGATGCATTGCCACTGGCCACGTATTACCCCTTCAATCCCTTTTGGGTTTCCAGTGATGCATTCCTTGGATCTTTTGTTGTATAATGTGGAAACGTGTTCGAATCACCTGGGCCACATGCTGGCTACAAAGATGGTTGCGAGCTACACACAATTGCAGTCAAAGTAATAGGAGTTTTGTGGATGTTTACCATAAAATCTTGTTAACTTCTGGACCTAAGACATGATCTTATTGATAAAGCTCATCAGAAAGGCTAAAATTGATAATAATTTATATACAAATAACTAAAAACGATATTACCATAAAAGGGTAATACAAAAATATAAGAAATGTAATTAAAAATATGCCAGATTTCTACATCTTCTGGAATGCATTTAATGATATTATTATGATTATATTATTTTGGCCTCAGGTGTACAAAAAGGTAAATGGATGAATGACACACGCGACAAGTAGCCAAGCGCATCTGGCGGGCGGTGGGGTTTTGTTTTTTCGCTTTTGCCTTTTCAGGGGGCCAAGGGGACTGGGGCAACCCTTCAATGCCGCCTAGACAAGCCCTCGGCACGTATGGTGTATCCGATTTCATGACTAATTATACGGGAACCGAGTGTGCCAGCAGCGAGTAAGGCGAGAAGGTTAAGCGCCTCCTCCACTGCCGCCGCCATCCATGGAATTATGCGGATTATATTTTTGTTCTTTGCTGTTTTTCACCATGCTACTGGGCGAGGTCAATTTCTGTTGCCTCTTCGCCTTTTTGGTCATTAATGAAGTAATGGAGCCAGCCGTCTTTGGGGATCCGAAAGGGTGAAGCCCCGGATTCGTTATTTGGTTTCATGCATAAAATAGCTGCACATAAGTGCAAGTTGCAAGCAAGTGCAGCATGAAATGCTGATGAAAATTTAATGAAATTGCAACGGAGCCGAGAAGCAGAGGAGCAGCGGCGTATCCTCATACTATTTTATTTTTTGCTCTCTGGCCCAGTTGTGGGATGAAATGCAATTTTGCACGGCTAGTTTTTGGAGTGGCAAAGAAAAACATACTTACAGGCACCGCACACCCACCACACCTTTTTATTTTAATAGGTGTGAAAGCTTTAAGTTTTTAAAATTATGATAAGGGCACTGGAAAAATATTGTGATTATTACAATAAAATAGTAAAATAAATACAAATTAATAAATATACAACTGAAAGACGTTTTAGGTAGCAAAAGAACAAACATTAGAATTTCATATATACTATTATTCATTAATTTATTTTAAATTTAAAGCTTTGTGATTACCCAGCAGACAAAAACTTGGTTTATGATATTAAAAACGATAGTTTTGTCCTATTCAGGCTCATAAACGATAATTAAGTTTATCACTTGTCATGGATTTTGTGGCAGAAAATGCTTTAATATCTTTAAGGACATCATTATCGGGTATAATCCTGAGAATTCGGGATATTCGTCCGCTATTCGTCCGTTCGCGAGTCCGTTTTTGAGCATTAAGCGAAACTAATGCGGAAAGTCCGATTCTTTGTCCGTATTTAATATTTTTAGCGGACATTTTTCGGATTCATACGCACTACGTCCGATATTTGCTTGCTGGGTAAGTATTGGGACAATGAGCGAAATAGGGGAATTCGCTACAAGTTCCTTGAAAAATTAGTCAGAGAATTAAGTTCTCTCATTGGTTTCTCTTACAATTGACCATAAAAATTGTTATTAAAACATTTCAATATACAAAGAAAGGAATATGTAAAATTATTTACAAAGATTATTCACTTTAATTTCAAACCCTACAGCACATATCCGCAGTGTAAAATCAGTTGCCTTGGCAAGCTGTTGCATAAATCAACTTCACCTGTGAACGAACGCTCTTGGTGTGTGCAAGTATTTGTTTTTTACCTGGGTGCGTGTGTTTGTGTTTTAGATAACTCAGCGTTAAGCGCCCGCTTGAAACTATGTCAAGCCTTCCCGGACACAGGCATATACATATATACCAGAATATAGCTACAACACTAATGCCGGCATTAACACCCACAGCTGCTGCTGCTGCACCCGAAGTGGCAGCTTCTGATGCTCCTCCGGACGCTGCCAGCTCCTCGTGTGTGCTCTATAAAATATTTGTTTAAACTTGCACTACTCGCACACCCCACACATGACACCCTACCTACCCACACACACACACACACATATTTTCTGGTGTTGATAAGCACACTTCTCTCGCCCGACTCTTGAGGCAGCGCAACGGGTAATCACAACTTAAATGAGTAGTTTAATTTTGTTCAAGTGTAGAGTGCCGAGAGATGCGTCGTCTCTTGAGAAGGGAGCACAAGAGACATTAGCAGCGGAGGCTATAATTTCCCTTCACTTGGAAAAACAAACTTCAAAGGCAATTATTTGTTTACTTGGGAAAAATTGTTTTGAGATTGAAAACAATTCTAGGGAACTATTCTGGAATAAATTGAACTACAAATCTGCAGAGTGGCAGAAATGATTGAATTGTTAATGTAGATTTTTTGAGTTTAATTTGGATTAGCTTTAACCTTTGTCTGATAAGCTGTTTGCTTATCTTAAGTTCCAAAATTCATTAAATATTTATGCTCATTTTAGTTTAATTGATATTCAAGGCATTTTCCCACAGTGCTTGGTAGTTTCAAAGTATTTTCCTATGTGCTTGATGTATTCCTGCCCTCCAGTGTACACTCACACAGAGGTATTGTTAATGTATTTTTCCTGCCAGTGTTTTGAGAAGATATAGAGTCAGAGACTCTGTTTATGACCAGCCCGAGTGGCAGGTTGCGTTGCCCGCTAGAACTGCTGTTTATTGTATTCGTCTAAATTGTTGTTTATGTCTGCATTCAGACAGCAACTGCAGCTGCAACTGCAAACTGCAATGGCAACGGGAACGGCAACTGCAGCAGCATTAGCAGAGGTAGCAAACATCAGTCGGCGACTCGTCAAGAACCTGACAATTTGCGCTTGTCTCGCCTCTGATTGTGCTTGGCGAAAGAAGTTTGCTGTAGTGGCACTGCCAGCAGCAGCAGCAGCAATAAAAGTGCTAAAAAGTTTCATGCCCCCAGACTGCATCCTGTTGTCAAGTCCTGCCTGCTGCTCTTGCTGCTTTTGCTTTTGCTGATGTTCCCCGTGCGCCCACAGACAAATTTTTAATCTTTTAAAACTGAGCTGCATTGTTGCCGGGTCTCCTCTGTGCTGCATTTGAAGAGTTGCCAGGGAAGAGCGGAAGAATGGCGCAGTCCACCACCAAGAATCAGTACCGCCAGTTCCTCCTCGGTTGTGTCCTTGCATATTCCTCGAGCCTAATGAGAGCATTATAACTTTGTGACAAACTTTGTTGTGGATGCGGGCGCTCTAGCTGCTGATGCTAATGAGAAAAAGAAAATGAAAATTGTATTCATTAAATGTGAGACACGGTTAAAACTCTCTTGAACGGACAGCTAGCGGCTCTCTCTTGGTTTTAGTCAGAAGTTGGATATAGCTTAAATGACAGAAATTGTCTGCTAAAAATTAATTTTAATTATTTAAAGTAAACAAATGAATGTGGCGACCGTGAACTACTAACACTAACTGGCCAAAGTCACATAGAACAAGAATGTAATTTAAGTTTTAAAGTTATTTCAAAGTACAACATATTTGATGATAAGAAAAAATAATTTTCCGAGAAACCATTCACGATACTCCGAATTCTCTTGAAACGACAATCAAGCTTATCATTAGCATGCTTTAATGCGAGGAC